CCCCAAAACCCCAAAACCCCAAAACCCCGCAAAGATTGATTAGTAGAATAATAGAATTTATTATAAATAAAATAATGAGCAATAATAATATCAGCAACTTAAGTGGTTTAAACAGCAATAATAGCAATATTACCAGTAGCGGTGTTAAATTTATGCAGTCTAAAATTCCCACTATGCAATCTAATTCCTAAGCAAACAAAAATAGAAATAAAGCCCGTACTACTTATACCTAATAAATAACCATTACTAATAAAGTAGGCTAATAGTCAAGTGCAACTAGATAAAATGGGGGACCAACAAGCTGATAAGACTTAGTGTCAAGTTCTCAGAAAACACAATTGGAATCGAGTGAAAAAATAAATTTGAAAGATAAAACTCAACAGCAAAACAGTTCCTAGATCCTGAAGGCAAATACTTTCCATTCACCAAGGCTAGGAGCAAGGACTAATCCTCCATAGAGTAATTTCTCAGTAGAGGAAGATTCAAAGATTATTGTACAGTAGCACTCACTGCAATAACAAAACACTCTTAATATAAAAAATCAATCGTCAGAGGAGAAATTACGTTAAATTCAAGAGGTAGCCAGCGAATATAACGTGCAAAATTATAATCTGGAAGATAGGGGAGCGAACAAGAATATTCAAAGCAGCCAGAATGCCAGATCAGATAATAAAAAATCCTAAGAATTAAAGAAGGATACTTTCTATCCTCAGAATCAACTAAAGAAGCCCACTAAATTGCCTAGCTCAAGAGATGTAATGAAGCAAATGCAAACTAATACTTCAACGACTGTTCCTCTTGTAAAGAAAGTAGAAGAAAAATAAACTTACAGTCTAGCAGTATCGCATTAAGTTTCATTAACTACCTAGATTAAAATGGATAATAGAGCTACTGCTGAAGATGAGGATTTTATTGATGACATACTTGATGACTCAATGGAGTTGAGAGAATCTTAGACACAGACTCATTCATCAATTACTAAAACAAAGCCTAACTCAGGAATTAGTACTGGCAAAGCCAATCAAAGTACTCCATCAAATAATAAAATAAACACGACAAGTCCATCTAAGCTGAATTCTAAGTTCACAAGTAGTGCAGGAGTCCATAGTAGATCTTAATTTTCAGCTTCTAATTCTTAATAAAGTAAAAATTAAATAAAGTAGTCAGTAGTTCAAGGTAAAAAGACTCTTTAAAGCTTGATGTCTGATAAAGATCACCAGGCAGATAATAAATCAATAGTTTAATTGGATTTAAATCTATCTATGTCAAACTTGCAAAGAATACCTACTGAATAGCTCAATAACATCAATTTAAGGTCTATTGATCTCAGAAATAATAGAATAACATCTGAAGGAATCTGCTGCGAGCTATTTTAACTTCCGAATGTTTGGAAACTTTAATTAGACAACAATCTTATCACAGAACTACCAGATTAATTTGAGTTAATGGTGGGCTTAAGATAAATTACACTTGGTCAGAATTAATTAGAAAAGCTGCCTGAAAGCTTATTTAAATTAAAAAACATCGAAAAACTAGACCTTAGTCAAAATAAATTGGTAAATTTATCAAATTCTATTGAAAAACTGGCGAATCTTAAGTATTTGTATCTTTCAGAAAATAACTTTACAATTTTACCTAGGGCTATTGGGCTTCTCAATAATCTCTAATAAATATCTCTAGAATGGTTCATGTACATTGAGCCACTATTCGACAAATTAATAAAAAGAATTATTCCAATTTAGGCACCACATAAAGAAATCAAGACTCAAGAAGAAAGCTCGATTCTTCTAGTAATAGAGGCTTTTAATTAATGTAAGAAGGAATAAGTGAATTTTTTCGATTTCATTTAGTCTTTCTATAAGTAAGCTTCAATAAAGGATGTATTTAAAACCCTTAAAATCAACAAGGGTTCAACTTTGATTCACTTTATCTGCAAATATCAGCACATGCATTTATTTGACTTGATGAAGGAATATAAATAAAACATAGATATCAATGTGACTGATTAACTAGGAAATAGTCCTTTAATAATTGCTATTTAGGAAAAATCATCAGTTGTTACAGATAAAATATTGAGAGAGTTTAAAGATTAACTCAATTTAGTTTACAAAGGAATAAATGAAGATGATAATGAGTAAATGACACCTACTAAAGGCCAAAGCAAGTAGCCTACTACAATAGTTTTGCATCCTTTACTACTTTCACTGAGAAATTAATTATATGAAACTGCTCTAAGAATTTTCAATATAATGGTGAAGAATCATAATAAAAGCAATCAATCTGAAATTCTTAACTTGAATATGAAAGATGAAAACAGTCTTTCCATCATGCATTACCTCTTTATGAATTTTTCAACTAATATGGAATTAAGTGTTGAACTCTGTTAAGAAATCCTTAAGTAATTTGAAAGAGGGCAGAAAAATATCCCATAATCTGTTAAGTTAGGCCTAAATGATCAAAACAAATAAGGAATGACTCCATTTGACTTGGCTGTAGAGGTAAAGTAAAATCAAGCCATCGAATTCGCCATTTACTATAATAAAAATCTCCTGCCTGCATTTTAATAAACCAAGCTTAATTAAAAGAAAGATTAATTTGACTTGAACTTCAATAAAAATGCAAGAGGGCTGACACCCTTGCATCGGGCTATACTAAATTTGAATTACAAAGCAATATATCTATTACTATAATCAGGAGATTGTAATCTCTTTTTAAAGGATAGAGATTTTAAAACAGCAAGAGATTACTGTTTATTAAAGTAATTCCTCAATAAATACCTTAGAAAGGGCGAGAGCAACATCATCAGAAATATTGTGTAAAAAATTTATCATGATCGAATAAGAGAGTATGAAAAAATTCAATAGTCAAATAAGACTGAGAAAAGAGGCTATTAACTAAGATCAGGAATACTAGTTAAAAATGTTTAACATAACAATACGAACTTTTTCTATATGTCGCAAAGAAGAGGAAATAGAGTAAAGTACAATAGTTGGTACACAAGAATCAATTAAGCCGGAGGACTTAATGGTTAAGGAAACTAGACTAAAAATGACTAGTAATAACCTAATAATCTAAATGGCTTGCATTTGAATTCACAGTAAGTAACACATGAGTAAAAAGATGGGGATTATGATGATGAAGAAAGTGAAGAAGAGTAAATCAGGATAGAGGATGTCAAGGATGATGATGAAAACTTGCTTAAGGCTAATAGCTACGTCCAGGATAGTATTGTCAAAATGAACCTAATGATAGGAGATGATTAAGAATATAAACCAAACAGACCAGTAGATAGAAAAGCAAATTCTTTGCTTAAGCCTACAATAAACTAAGTCAATTTGAATGAGAGGAGACTTTCTGATTAGTAATAGCAGTAGTAAAATAAAAAGACAAGTGCTTCGTTAATACAGAAACATAATGCTTTATAAGCTAGCACAAATAAAACAATTCAAGTTGTAAATCACTCCTAAAAAGCCTCAATAACTTCTAAGCTATCTCCAAGATAATAAAACATGAATTCAGATTAGCAAAAAATAAGAATATCACAACCAATTACAGAGGTAGTAAGTTTTGACATCTAATAAAGGATCAATGCAGTAGAGATTAGAGACGTTAGTAGTGTTTTGAGTCACAGAAGAGATTCAGAAGAGTTCAATATTGCAGAGGAGGAAGAAGGCCAAGAAGAAGGTAATGATGAAAGCCCTTCTACACTACCTAGTAATAAATATAAATACATAATGTCAGTAAATAATTCAAAGCTTGCCAGAAAGCCTTACTATAAATAGATTTAAAGAAACAGATTCGAGAGAGAATTTTGTATCATAATGGATCCAAGAGTTGATCTATCTGAAAAAATGAATAAACTTTTCTCTGTGTTTTCACAAGTTCAATAGAATATCTCCCATCCTTAAAAAGATATCAGTAGTGGATTCTACAGAGATGGCAGAGAATTCCTAGGATTCCTAAAACTAGAATTAGAAAGTAAAGAATTTAATCTTGCTGCTCTGAAGAATGAGATACTTTACTTCTAAGAGATAATTTTTGGGAACTCTAACTTTGCATTAATAATCAATGATGGTAATTAGAGTGCTAGGAAAAATACTAATAACAATTTTTCTCTTGAAAGAGGACCACTTCCTATGATTTAAGAAACTTAGCATGAGAATACCAATATAAGTCCTCAGAAAAAGTTTTTAGCCTAACCATCTGCCAATAAATTTGGATTTAAACAGATGAATAAGACCTCGACTAATTCAAGATAGAATTTCAGCTCAATTTAAGCTACAGAGCAACTTGAAGAGGATAAATCTTAAATAGCCTTAAGATTGAATACTGCTACTTCATCTAAGAATTTAGATTAGTCAAAATAGCAATCCTCTTCTGCCACTACCGCTTCTAGAAAGACCAAAGTAAATGAAGTCAAGCTAGTAAATATGAAAAACATAGTTAGTGGAAGTCAAGATGATGATGGAGCTAAGTCCCCTACCTCACCTCGAGGCAATAGCGGCCAAATCAATCAAAAGTTGAATTTAACATCAACTACTTTATAGATTTAATCGCCTTAATCAAATTATGGAAGTAGCCTAACATTCTAGCAATAAAATTTACTGAAAACAAAAGAATCATGTATCAAGAAAATAGAGGTCTAAATTACTGAAAAATAGCAAATGTCCTCTCCCTAAGATAAAAATAGTGGGAAGTGGAAATAGCTAACAATAAACCCTAACAGTAATACGAATAGTGCAAGCAATAATAGTAGTTCTTAAAATATCTCTATTTCAGGAGTAGCAAAGGGGCTTTAAAAGATTAACTCAAAACTATCTAATACTCCCTAAAGCTAAAGAGCTAATTAATAAATCCTGAGCCTCATGACCAATGCTTAGACATAGAACTCTAGCAGCAGCTTAAATACCAATAGAAACACTTTAAATTTATAAACAGCATAGGCTAAAACCACTGAAGTTTCAAATATAATTATCACCTCATCTTAAAATAAAACTTCATCTTCATTAAGCAATAGAAGTAGTTCAAACCCCAGAAATAGCTTGATAGGCAATACTGCTAATAATCTAAAGCAGCAAGTTCAAAAAAGCTAGCCACAAAGTCTTTCAATAGCCCAGTCAAATAGCTAAGCTAATCAAGGAAACTCTTCATTAGCGAAAGTCTCATATGTTTCATTTTAGCCAAAGAATTCAAATCTTGGATAAACTACTTAGAACGGCAATACAGCATCTCAAGTTCAGAGTGAAAGTTAACCATTTATGATGTCTACTACCTAAAACACCAATAATAATACTAATACTACTCTTACTTAACTAGGAATGAGCCATTAATCTAAACTGAAAGCCCCAGCAACAAAGAACTATAACAGACATACAATAGGCAAAACTACTATTAAAAAATGAACAATAAACCATATTGAAAATTATGACTCATAAAGTCCTATACATAAGTCTATTTGATGAAGGTTAATCCTGATTATCGAACCTTTTATTTTCTTATTTCTACTATTTAATTTTCTTCTAATTTATTTGATATACTCATTTGGGGTTTTGGGGTTTTGGGGTTTTGGGGTTTTGGGG